CATTGTATGGTTTGAAACAATTACCTTAGTATTTGGCATGTAGGTTTTGATCATACAATAATGTGTCACGAGTTTAGTATAAACAAATGTGATAAATGTCTATGTAATGCGTACAATAGACGAGGCTATCACTATTTGTCTATACACGATAAACTCAACGTGGGTAGTAATGATCACCGGATCAATTCTACCAAGAACATGTTAAATTTGAGATTTGACATGAAGGATATGAGGCTGGCAGATTTAATCCTCGGGATTAAAAATTGAGAGAAGACCGTATGGTCTCGTGGTAAGCCAATCTCATTGTGTTGATTGAATCCTTGTGAAGGATGATAATCAAATGGCTTGGACATAGTTAGATACTAATGGACAACTAGCCAATAATCACGAAGATTGTACTTCTCAGGGAGAATACATTCAGATTATTGGTAGTTTAATTGTATCAAATGGGTTGTACAAGGCCGAACATTGCCTTTGCGGTTAATGAACTTGGTAGACATACGAATAGCCCTAGTGTTGCGCACTAGAAGGCAATAGCAGTTATGAGATACTTAAGGTATGCTCGTGACTTTGGACTGCACTACGTGTAGATATATAGCTGTACTTGGAAAGTATAGCACGTTAACAGGATATCAAAGGATGATAAATCCGTCAAAGGCTACATCTTTGCGTAGGCAAGTGCAGTCGGTTGGATGGAAATTCTTGAAACGATTTGTGATAGCTAAGATCCGACGGGATCTAAGCTGAGAGCCTTAGACTCGTGTCGCGAGCGAGTAGGTCGACTGGCTATGCCATTTTTCAAGAATGTTCCTAGTGGTAAACTCGTACCTCCAATTTGTGTGCTTTGCGATAGTCAAGCCAAAATTGGTTAAGTACAGAGTTAGATGTGGAATGGTAAGTCTAGACTTATAAGTCGTTGACATAATACCATTAAACAATTTCTCACAACAGGGGTTATCTTTATTGACTACGTGTTGTCAAAAGATAACGTAGCGGCCGCTAACTCGCTAACCCGAGGGTAAGCAAATGGTTGTGGAGAAATTGGAACGAGGAATGGATCTAAAGCCCTTGGACTAAAAGTTCTATAGTGGATACCCAACCTAGCTAGCACCTAGGTTCAATGGGACAACTAAATTATGGAACGAAGCGTGTCACTGTGGGGGTCTCGGACTTCCTACCACTCCTCGTTAGAAACCGTGACTCCCGCACAAGGCTAGCACGTTGGTGCTTTAATGATTCGAATGTCGGTTGACATGTGTGAGTATGCGGAATACTCGGAAAAGAATCACCTATGTGAGAGAGAAGTGAGGGTCGCTTCAAAGGAGAATTGATGGGCACAATTCTTCATAAACTCTTGCAGAACCAGGACGGTGACCCACGACCAAAATGGGCATACTCATGAGAACATAGCATGGTTGGGAGGTTCCTGTGTGAGATATGTCATCGTCTACACAAACGGCAGTCGGTTCAAAGACATCGCGTTCTACCGTACAGCTAGTAGAGTAAACATGTCTTCACAAGGGAAGGTTCAAAGGGTATAGTGATCCCTACCTATCCTATGCAGGGATCGACCGTTGAACACAGTTTGTTTCCGATTTCAAAATACCCTGAAAATCAATTTTCATTCATGTGGGGGATTGTTGGAAAAAATAGCTTAAAATGGCATAAAATGGCTTATTAAGTGGCTATTTTGTGGTAAAATTATCAGTGGGGTCCACTTCCGATTTGGGTCAGGTCAAAGTGGATTCGGGTTCTTCGTAGTGAGACGAAGAGATTGATATATTGTACGCTCAAAACGGATAATGGGTGAATGAGATATTGATTCTCAAAGTAGACCCATTTGAGTTGGAAAAAGAAGGGAAAAAGTGAGCTTTTGTCCCACATTGATTTGGGAAGAGGATTTGCCCCACTATTTATACATGAGCTCTTTTTAAGCTTATTGAATTGTATAGCATAGAGGCTCTCTCTCTCGTGCGCAGGGGGTGCAAATCAAATCCCAGTTTGAGATCAAAAATTGGCAGGCCTTATGCAATTTCGAAAACTGGTGAAATTTGTTTCACAGTTTCGGGGTGGCCACCACGAAAATGAAACAATTGTTTCAAGTTTCGGGGTGGCCACCTTGGCCTCCACGAAAATGAAACAATTGTTTCGTGGGCCACGAAATATGAAACAATATAATGTTTCGTGGCCGAAACTACCGCAAATTATGCTGTGCAACCGGTTGCAAAACGGCGCCGTTTTGGTTAAAAAAACGCGCGTCCCACTTAAAGAAGAAATCAGGTTCGATTCCCGGCAATAGCATTTTTATATATCCACAATTTCATAACTATATATCCATAATTTCATAACTATATATCCATAATTTCGTAACTATATATCCACAGTGAATGAATGAAGTAAAAATCCACAATGAATGAATGAATAAAGTAAAAATCCACAATGAATGAATGAATGAAGTAAAAATCCACAATATATGATTGAACTAAATATCCACAATATATGATTGAACTAAATATCCACAATGAATGAACTAAATATCCACAATTTCATAACTATATATCCATAATTTCATAACTATATATCCATAATTTCATAACTATATATCCACAGTGAATGAATGAAGTAAAAATCCACAATGAATGAATGAATGAAGTAAAAATCCACAATGAATGAATGAATGAAGTAAAAATCCACAATGAATGAACTAAATATCCACAATATATGATTGAACTAAATATCCACAATGAATGAACTAAATATCCATAAATTCATAACTATATAACCACAATTTCATAACTATATATCCAGAATTTCATAACTATATATCCACAATAATGCTATTGCTGAGAGTCGAACCTGATATTTTTTTTTTAAGTGGGACGCGCGTTTTTAATCAAAACGACGTCGTTTTGAACCGTATGCACCATGCGCATGGTACATTCGGTTGCACAGCATAACTATTGCGAAACTACTACTTAGGCCGAAAGTTCGGCCTGAAACCCTTGTTTGTGACTGTTGGGATTTAATTCAGCTGTTATGGAATTAATTTTTGACTTAATTTCAATTTTAATTTTTGAATTAACACCCATGTTAATGGTTGATGTTACAAGAGTTGTAGGGATGCCTCTAAATGCCATAATAAAGGCTATTCACTCCTCATTCCCTATATAAGAAGGGGTAGAGTGCAGCAGAATTTTTCTAAGGAAAAAAGTAAGAAGAACACACAAGAAAATAATTTTTCCAAGCCTCAAAATACTTCTGCTTCTACTCCATTCTTGAAGCTGTGTTTTGCCCGCGCTCTTGTTCGCTAGGTTCGTTCGTTTGGGTGCTCAAACGTCGAACCGTTGTACGTTTTATCCTGGGAGACCTAGGCCACAACGCTCCTAGCACTTTTGGGAGGTGACAAATAAGGTTTTAAGGAAAGAAAGGCATCTCACCTAACTCGTACATTTCTTCCTTCCTCTCCTTCTTTCTTGTTGTTGGATTATGCTTTTAAGCAAAAATCCGTTCTCCCTCTTTTGATATATACGTTGGATTGGACTTATAATCTGAGGATTATTAGTTCCAATTTCTGGTTGATATATATTGGTATATCTTTCTCGTATATATATATATATATATATATATATATATATATATATATATATATATATATATATATTTATAACCTTTGGGTCCGTTTATATATATTTGTGTGTATATATATATTACGGATAAAATATCAAATAATATTTTATATACTTGTGTGTGTATATATAAATATTATTTTACAATATTAAATCGATTTTGGTTCATTATCACCAACAATTTACTAAACAATATAATTTAAAATTTTAGTTTGAACCTATTCTTTTGTTTTTTTGTTAACTTGTTTTGCTTAATAAAAGTTACAAGTAGTTTGTATAGGCTACTATTTATTGTCTTAATTGTATCATTCTATGATGGTGAGTTCTTTGAATGAAAACTCTTTTTCTATTCCACTATTAAATCTCATCATGGTATCGGAGCATTTTAAATTTTTTTTTTTCTCTTCTTCTTTGTGTATAATCTTCATGGCTGAAGAACAACCTGCGCCTTTCCCACCAGCGTTTGGTTGGAGAGGGGGAATTACGTGGGAAAAGATTTGCAATTCCATGGGAGATGAATTACTGGGAATAAAGTGAAAATTTAAATTCCAATGTTTGGTTTACATGAATAAAATTATTGGAAATTTCAATTCCAATGTTTGGTATACATGGGAATTGAAAGGAAATAAGTAGTATAAAGTCCAAAATGTCCATTGTTGTTGTCGATCATTAATTTTAAGTTAAAAAAGGGAGAGGTAATTTTGACTCATCACTATCTTTTTTTTTTTTTCCTAAAATCTCAAGAATTAAAATACCAGGGGGACATGGGATTTTAATTCCATGAAAATAGGGGAATTGCAATTCCATGAAATTGCAATTCCTTTCAACCAAACAAGGGAATTTTGTGTCCTTTGAAATTAGGTGGGAATTATGTGGGAAAGGAATTTAAAATCCCTTCAACCAAACGCCCTGTGAACCCACATGATGAAAATAACCAATCCTGATTTACCACTTCAGAGAATATAAATGAGGAAGTAGAATTTTGGGAGTCTATGTAGTAAAACTTGATAAATAAATCTAAAACAACACCGGAGTATGAAGCATTATATTACTTGGGAGAAGAATTCTAGTTTAGCCGTCTTCTCTGACTAATAATTCAAATTGACTAGTAGAAAAAGAGAGATTCAATGAATTTTAGTCTATCGATCTTCCCTGACTAATTAAAATTGAAAAGTATCCTTTCAAAAAAATTGAAAAGTATAGAAAGGAAATTTAGAGATTATACATTAATGTATAATGGTGATGTTCATGTTATCTTCATATTTCAAAATTCAAGACTTTCAGCAATGATGAATTATAATGCCAATGCCACTTATATAAATAGGATAGGATACATTATACACATTCACACCATCCCAACAAAACATCTAAAAGATGGCTTCTCAAATATTGCTCTGTTTTGTTATTCATATTCTTCTTTTCTTTTCACAATCTTTGGAGACAACATCAGAAACAACGGAGGAGGGAAGATCACTTGTGATGTGGAAGAACACCTTATTGAATACTCATAATCTTCATTCATGGTCCATTGCTAATCTTGAAAACATCTGCTGGAATTGGAGTGGCATTAGCTGCAACAATGGCGGAGATGTTTATAAGATAAAGTTGGATAATTTCAGCCTCTCAGGTACACTTGAAAGCTTTGATTTCCTTTCATTTCCAAACCTCAATCATTTTAGTCTCTATAATAACAGTTTCTTTGGACCAATTCCTTATTCCATTGCTAACCTTTCCCAACTAGTTTTCTTGGACCTCAGGTTGAACCGTTTGGTAAATTTTATACCTCCAGAGATAGGAAAATTAAGTAATCTTCAGTTCTTGAACCTTGGATTTAACAATCTTGATGGTACAATTCCCTCCCAAATAGCCCACCTTCAACACCTTACTTCCCTTTCCTTATATTTCAATTCTTTCACGGGTGAAATTCCTGATTCACTTTTCTCCAATATGAGCAACCTTCAAACTTTTGATTGTAGGGGAAATCTTTTCCATGGACCAATTCCAACAAGTTTAATCAAGCTATCCAAGCTTAAACAACTTGACCTCCGTGCAAACAATTTCTATGGCTCAATATCTCCTACAATTGGAAATCTAAGCTCGCTAACCAATCTTCATCTTAGCTCCAATATATTGCAAGGAAATATTCCTGAAACACTATGCAATCTTCATTCCCTTAGCACCCTTTATTTATTTAACAATAAGTTTAGTGGTCCAATTCCTGAATGTCTGGGAAATTTAACCTCATTAAGGCGTCTTTCTCTTGATTCCAGTGAAATGCATGGGAATATGTATAGAACACTATGCAATTTTCACTCCCTTGAAACCCTTCATATATATAACAATTGTTTGGGTGATCTAGTTTCAAACTGCTTGGGGAATCTAACCTCATTAAGACATCTTTCTCTCCATTCCAACGCGGTGCAAGAAAGTATTCCAGAAACACTTTGCAATCTTCACTTTCTTGAAACTCTATATTTGTCTTTCAATAGTTTGACAGATCCATTTCCACGATGTTTGGGGAATATAACTTCATTAAGATATCTTTCTCTCAGTTCTAACACTGCGCAAACAAATATTCCTGTAACACTTTGCAATCTTCGCTCCCTTGAGGAGCTACTTTTGTCCTTCAATAATTTGGGAGGTTCAATTCCACAATGCCTGGGAAACATAACCTCACTTAGATCTCTTACTCTAGGCTACAATGCCTTGCAAGGAAAAATTCCTGAAACCCTATGCACTCTTCATTCCCTTGATATTCTTGATTTATATCTCAATAGTTTGGGAGGTCCAATTCCACAATGCTTGGGAAACATAACCTCACTAAGGTATCTTTCTCTCAGCTCCAACATGCTCCAAAGAACTATTCCTGATGCCCTATGTGATCTTCATTCCCTTGAGATTCTCGATTTAACAAACAACAGCTTGGATGGTTCAATTCCACAATGTTTGGGAAAATTGAAAAGTCTGGAAACATTACTTGTTTCTAAAAACCAACTTGGAGGCATGATACTTCCAACTTCAACACATAGAAGTGACATAAATCAAACAACAAGTTCTAGCTTGATTTATGGGTTATATGCTGGGTTGTGTAGTTTGAGATCCCTGCGATTTCTTGATATGTCCGACAACAATTTTCATGGTCTACTACCTTTGTGTTTAGAGAGCTTTAGTAGGGAACTTAAGGTTATAAATTTAGCTAGAAATCAATTTCAGGGAACCATTCCAATAGTATGCAACGCAAAGGGAAACAACTTGGAGTATTTCAATTTGAATGACAATCAATTGGAAGGGCCATTACCCAGAGGCTTGAGAAATTGCAGCAATCTTAAACTTCTTGATCTTGGAAACAACAAGTTACGTGATTCATTCCCTCATTGGTTGGATACTCTTCCTGCTTTGCGTGTTCTTATACTGAGATCTAATCAACTTTATGGTGAAATATTTGCTTCTAACACCACACTTCCATTCCCAAAGTTGCATATATTTGATATCTCACACAATGAGTTCAGTGGTCCTTTACCAAGATATTATATAGAGAACTTTGAAGCCATGAAGCATGCAAATGATGATGAAACATTGTCATCTTATGAAGCTTCAATAAGCCTAGTGTGGAAAGGGGTGGAGCTTCAAGTGGTGCATTATGATATCTCGATAGCCCTTGATTTATCTAATAACTTCTTCCACAGTGAGATTCCTAAATCTTTAGGAAAGCTACATTTCATTCGGTTTCTCAATCTATCCCATAACCAGCTCACTGGCAATATTCCATCATTACTAGAAAAGCTAACTGTTCTTGAGTCACTTGATTTGTCATCAAACAAACTTGTGGGTGAGATTCCAAGACAACTTCCAAGATCATTGACATTTCTGGCCATACTGAATGTTTCTTCTAATAATCTTTTTGGACCTATACCCCGTGGCTTGCAGTTTGACACATTTAGCAATGACTCCTATTTGGAAAACACAGCTCTTTGTGGATTACCACTAATGCTGCAGTGCCAAGACAAGGGCGAAGGGAAAGCACCGGATGTGAAGGATGATTCAGAAGATTTTTGGATTGGATTTGGTTGGCGAAGTGTTGTTGTGGGTTATTGCTGTGGTGTACCCTTTGGTATTGTTGTTGGATATGCCATATTTAAGTATGGAAAACCTGGATGGCTCATAAGGTTACTACTTGGGGAAGTGAAAGTCGAAGTGTAATAATCAAGAAGAACCAGTCAGTTGAAGCGATTCATCGATCATCAGTCTTGCAGCACATAGTTTTTTTCTTATTATATATGGTTGTGGTTTTAGTTGTCGTTTTTCTATTGCTTTTTTATTGTTGTACATATTGTTGTGTGATTGTAGTGTTTAATTCTTCTCAAATTGCTTGAAATAGAACACATAAAGGGAAGATGCATAGGAAATTCTATCATACTATCCTCTGTAATTATTTTCTTTAATTTATTGATATTTATGAAATTTGTTTTTTTTTTTTTTTTTTTTTTTTTTTTTTTTTTTCTTTCTAATCATGATGTAGTTTAATGGTTGTGTGGTTGTGGTGTGTGGTTTGTAATTCATTCCAATCTTTTTTTGAAAGGAAGTTCTTTCCAAACTGAATGAAATGAAATGCAAAATATCACTGGTAAGAAGCCTGTTGGCTAGTTTAGAAATATACTTTTGGATTTAAGTTTAAGAATAATTCAGCCTCGATTACATTTAATTGATACCATATATATAAGATGTGAAAACAATCTACATTCATGCATAAAGATGTAGATGTAGATATATTGTACAAGGAAGAGAAAATAACATAAAAATCCTAGTCTAAAGGAGCATAAATATAACATCCATCTGTTAAATATATAGATGTATGAAATGTTAGATTTTCATTAGAGTATAACAAAAAGCAACCACGTACAATTACATTAGAAAATTAAAAAATAACAAACTTTTTCAAGTGTTTATTGAAGTGGTTAGCCAAGTGTTTGTTGAAGTGGTCAAAGCAGGCCTAAATTTGTCTTAATCTCACTGTTTTTCTACCACCATCAATGATGACTATCTAGTGATCACCCACTCTCACTTGTATAAATTGAAAGTAACAACTAATTTAACAAGCTAAGAAGTTAGAAAGTAAGAAAGATAGTAAGATGATGTCCTCTTCTTCGATAATCTTTTTTGTTATTCATATTCTTCTTCTCTTTTCACTCTCTTGGGAAACAGAAACTTCAAAAACAATTGAAGGAAGAGCTCTTGTGAAGTTGAAGAACACATTATCCAATAATACTCATCATGTTCTTTGTTCAACATTTGCAAGAATTGGATAGGCATCAACTGCACCAATGTTGGAATTCTTAATGAGATAAAGCTTGAAAGTTGTAACCTCCCAGGTACACTTGAAACCTTTGATTTCACTTCATTTCCAAACCTCACCCTTTTGAGCCTCCATAACAACAACTTTGTAGGTTCAATTCCATATGTTATTGCTAACCTCTCCCTGTTAGTTTCCTTGGACCTTAGTTGGAACTATTTTGAAAATTTGATACCAACAGAGATTGGAAGATTAACAAAGCTCGAATTCTTGAGCCTTGAAGGAAACAAACTCAATGGTACTATTCCATCCCAAATAAGCCACCTTCATCACCTTCTTTCCCTCTACCTATATTCAAATTATTTGACTGGCTTCCAGAAGCAATATTCTCCAATTTGACTAGGCTTCAAATATTTGGATTGTAGGAGAAATCTATTCCAAGGACCATTTCCACCAAATTTGATCAAGTTATCCCAATTTGAAGCCCTTAACCTAGCTGAAAACCATTTCTTTGGTTCAATACCTGCTACAATTGAAAATATATCCTCATTAAGATTTCTTGGTCTCAATTTCAACAACTTGCAAGGAAATATTCCTACAACACTATGCAATCTTCACTCTCGTGTAGCTCTCTGATCTATATATCTACAATTAATTTGGATGGTTTACTTCCGCAATGCTTGGAAAATGTAACATCACTAAGACTTCTTTCTCTTGGTTCATTATAATATCCTACAAGGGAATATTCCTCAAACATTATGCAAACTTCAATTCCTTGAACTTCTCTCCTTATCTGAAAATAGTTTGACTGGTGTAATTCCACAATGCTTAGGAAATATACTCTTCTAAGACTAGACTTCCCTTCCAAAAGCTACACATATTTGATATCTCAGACAATGAGTTCACTGGTCCTTTACCAAGACATTATATGGAGAATTTTGAAGCTATGAAGCATACAAATGATGGTGAAATATTAGAATATTATGATTTGTCAAGAAGCCTTGTGTTGTCGGGAGATGTTTTGTCAACAAGCCCATTTTGTCAAAAGGAGATTATTTGTCAACAAGCTCGCCAGGGTGGAATGGGGATGATTTGTCAATAAGCCTGGTGTGGAAAGGGAAGGAAGTTCAAGTGGTGCATTATGATATCTGCACAATCTTTGATTTATCCAACAACAACTTCCATAGTGAGATTCCAAGATATTTAGGAAACCTTCGTTTTATTCGGTTTCTCAATCTATCTCACAATCAACTTACATGAAATATTCTGTCATCACTGGGAAATATAACTGATCTTGAGGTACTCGATCTGTAATCAATCAAACTAGTAGGTGAGATTCCAGAACAACTTGCAAGATCGTTGAGATTTCTCGCTGTACTGAATCTTTCTTATAATCATTTTTCTGGTCATATACCTAATGGCCAACAGTTTAACACATTTAGCAATGACTCCTATTTGAGAAACATGGCTCTATGTGGATTTCCACTCACTTTACAATGCCAAGGTGGAGGTGAAGGGAAAGCACCAAATGTGAAGGACTTACAAATTTTTTGGATTGGATTGGTTGGCAAAGTGTTGTTGTTGGATATAGTTGTGGCATACCATTTGGTATTGCCGTAGGATATCTCATATTTAAGTATTTAAGTATGGAAAATTGGGATGGCTTGTAAGGTTGGTACTTGGGGGCTAATAGTGGACGTGCACAAAATGAAGGATTGATTAGATGAAGGAATATATTTCTCTTAGTGTATGGTTGTGATTTTCATTCTGTTTTACAAGTTTTTTATGTTGTCATTTTTGTTTGTGCCTTGGTTGTGTGATTGTAGTGTCTGGTTTGTAATTCTTCTCAATCTGAATTAAATGCAACAAATCATTACTCAGCGAGGGGGATGGGTCGGGTCAAAGTGCAAATGTAATACTGATTAGGAATAAAATGTTTGTTACTAATGCGAAAAAATGTAAAAATTTTGAAGAAAAAATCTAATACTTTTACATTTTGATGTAAAAATATTACATTTTTTATCAAAAGAATTACCTTTTTACTTATAATTTTATAAATAATAAAAACTGTATTCATTATTAGTATTACATTTTTCAGTATAAGCATTACACTCTTAATTTTACGGTGAAATATGTTCTTTTAACACTACACTTACATTCCCAAAGTGGCAAGTATTTGATATTTCACACGTACAATAAGTTCACTGGTCGTTTGCCAAGACATTATTTCGAGATTCCTTGTAAGCACAATTTATTTAATCGAAGGATTGAATTATCTAATTTTGATTTAATAGAAGTGAAGCTAAAATAGTCAATTTAATTGAAGTCCAAAGTTATAAGGAGTACAAATTGCAAATTACTCAAAATTGTGACATCTAATGCTGGGAAATCTAACCTCACTACTATTACTTTTTCTTAGTTCTAACATCTTGCAAGGAAATATCCTTCAAACACTATGCAACCTTCACTCTCTTTAAGTTCTCTACCTAAATAGTAATAGCTTGAGAGGTCTAATTCTCTTTTTAAATAGTAATAGTTCGAGAGGTTGGATTCCACCTTGTTTAAGAAATGTAACCTCACTAAGCTATATTTCTCTCAGTTCTAACATATATTCCCAAAGGACTATGCAATCTTCAACAGTCCCTTGAAGTATTCATTTATCCAACAATAGTTTGGATGACTCATCAATTCCTCAATGCTTGGGAAAATTGAAATTTTTGACAACTTTAATTGTTTCTAAAAACCAGCTTCGAGGCATGATAGCTCCAACTCCAACACTTAGAAATGATCAAAAATCAAACAACAAATTCTAGTTTTATTTATGGGAGGGATACATGGTTGTATGGTTTGAGTTCCTTGCAATTTCTGGATCTATCATACAATAATTTACATGGTCCACTACCTTAGTGTTTAGAGAATATAATTTCGGGAACTTATGGTTATTAATTTAGCCAGAAATCAATTACAAGGATTTATTCCTGGAGTTTGAAGTGGAAAATGAATTGCAAGGAGGTTCAAAACAAATTGATAGAATATGAACAGAAGAAAATTGAGAGACATTTCAAACTCCCTAATTCATCATCACATCCCACCACTATAATTAGACAATGACTAGATAACCCCGACCTAGTTGGTTGGGCAATTTGTTAGCAACCACAATGTTTTAAATTTGACTCATCCTTGGATCAAATCGCTACTGCCTATTAGCTTTCGTACTGGCTTATCTTTCTGTGATCCTTAGCTGACTAAGGTCATAAGACAGACTTCATTTAGAACGCCCACACATTCAATTAGTGGCGGTAAATTTTTCTGTAAATTAAAGATAGTGATTTTCACAATGTAAATATGTTAGTTGACTCATTCTTATAGGTACAACATCTACAGTCACCTTATTCACACATTGCATGCAGTACGTACTTCTTCTGTTCACATTTGCCTTAATTAATTTTGTTTCCATTCTTTGACTTTTTTTAGCTTTGGGATATTTTCGTCTATTCATCATAGTGGAATTTAATGGTTATTGTTCAAGATATGAATTTCGACGAAGCTTCGTGACATGGACATTATATGGTTAGTGTAATTCCTCGATGTCTGGAAAATTTGACCTTACTAGAATACCTTTATCTGGATTTCAACATGTTACATGGAAATATTCCAAAAACCTTATGAAATCTTCAAAACTCTCTTGAATTATTATTTTTATCCAACAACAGTTTGGGAGGTGCTATTCCAAAATGCTGGGGAGAAATGAAATCTTTGACAACTTCAGATGTTTCTAAAAACCATCTTAAAGGCATGATAACTCCACCAATCATTAAGTTGTGCGGTTTGAGTTCCGTGAAAGTTCTTGATTTATTAGATAACAATTTACATGGCCCGCTACCTTTATGTTTAGAGAACTTTAGCAAGG